TAGAATAGAATAGAATAGAATAGAATAGAATAGAATAGAATAGAATAGAATAGAATAGAATAGCCTTTATTGTCCCAGCGAGGGGAGATTCAGGTGTCACAGCAGCATCCATACAGAGGTTCACACACTAGTTACTTTACAAACTATAGAAAGTACACAAAAACGGAAATTAACACTGACTAGCAATGACACAACTACTAATAATAGAAAATATAATATAAAGAATTGTGCAAGAATAAAAAAAATATGTTTTGTTTTAGAGACAGTAGACTATCAGAATCTGACATTAGGAATCAGACTGCCTATTTTCAGCGCAAAACAATCTCAACAGACCAATAACTGTAAAGTATCACTATTAACTGTAAAGTATGACAGTGCAGACAATAAACACAGATGCACAATTTTTAAAAGTTTAAAATGGGTAATAACAGAGCAGGTGATTGCTCAGATTAGTAATAATATAAATGAGTAGTAGTGGAAATGATTGTTCAGATCAGTAATGACAGTAAATAATAACAGCACAAATGATTGTGTGGGCAGCAGCAGGTGTGTAAACACTTATTGTGATTTTTGTAAACACTTATTGTGATTTTTGTAAACACTTGTGATTTTTGGGTGAGGTGCTGGTCATAAAGTCTGACAGCTGCTGGGAGGAGGGATCTGCGATAACGCTCCTTTGTGCACCTTGGATGCAGCAGTCTGTCACTGAAGGAGCTCTCCAGTTCAGCCACAGCTTCATGCATGGGGTGGGAGACGTTGTTCATCAATGTTGTTATTTTAGTCAGAGTTCTTCTGTCTCCCACCACCTGCACTGGGTCGAGGGAGCATCCCAGCACAGAGCTGGCCTTCTCGATGAGCTTATCTAACCGCTTCCTCTTAGCTGCAGATAAGCTGCCGCTCCAGTTAACCACCCCGTAGAAAATGGCTGATGCCACCACAGAGTCATAAAATGTCTTCAGGAGTGCCCCCTGCACTCCAAATACCTCAGCCTCCTCCGCAGGTAGAGTCTGCTCTGACCCTTCCTGTAAAGAGCGTCCGTGTTGTGAGAATTGTGTGAGAATTCTTCATAAATAATGGATAGTAAATAATGAGAAGATGAGCTGAATCTATCAATTTTAAAATGAATAAATACAAGTTGTCAGTAATGTTACAGAGCACACAGTTAGTACACAGTACACAGTTAGTATACACAGTACACAGTTAGTATTTGTGTACTGAGGCACAGTTCCCTAAACAAGATGGCTGCTCGCTCCGACCATGAAAAGCCACATGTGTGCATTTATACGTGTATATAAATGTAAAAATAATTATAACTAGGGAGATGTTTGTCATATAATAAGACATTGGTCATAGGTAGTTTTATTTTTGATATTCACAAATGTAAATGTTCATATTCTCATTTTAGATGGGAACATGTATGATTAAGTTGTGAGAAATTCATATTTCCTTTTTAAACGGTTATTTATTTATTTTTAATAAGTTGACTTTAAAGCAATGTGAAAGGTTGTTRTCATAAATCACTTCCCAATAACCAACTCTAAGGACTGCAGTTCCTACATGTGTGCACACGGGYACGCTGCTTCACAACGTTTCACAGCATCTGAGGCATCATAAAAAGTTTCATCAATTCCTAATTTATTTCAGCTCGTGTTTAGTTTGACGGTGACCGAAAAAAAACTTTCATACGACATCAATTAATTTACCAAAATAAAGTTACATTTAGACAGATTTATATTTTGCTTATCCCACGTTTAGATGAAAACAGTGTGACTGTCCTGTGAGTTTTCTTCTGTTCCTGCGTCGGTTCAAGGTATATTGTGCTAAAAGGCACGAGCCTACAGGAAAACATCACGCCTGATGCCTTTCCTCTGCAGTCCTAAGTTACAACAAAGTTGTAAAAAGCAGCTGCAGCCTCCAGAGGTGGCGGCCAGGCAGACCGGCGGCTCCTCTGCAGCCAATGACCGACCACCGGAAGCGACACATCCGGTGCAACAACAACAACAAGCAGCAGCCTGTTCGCCCCCACCCCCTCCACCTCCACCCCCACCTCCAGCCCGGCGCCATGCACGGCCCCGAACCTGGACCTCCTCTCCGGAAAGAGAGAGGAAACAAACACGAGAGAGAGAGAGAAACGAATTAAAAATAATAAGTGTTCAGGATGAAGCTGAAGTTCTGCAGCTGGAGTTCCTCTTCCTCTCAGCGGGATGCAGATGTTTGACCCCACTTTTAAAGTTATAAGTGCATGAAAATGAGCGCTTTAATGGATTGTACTGCCTGAACTGAAACTTGGATTTATTGAAAAAAGAAATCGGAGCAGAAGAGGGGAAAGCACGGTGAGTTTAAACTTTGTCTTTATCATAAAGATAAAACAAGCTTATTGGTTTACAAACAACTTTTTAACATGCTCAATAGGCTGCTGCATGTGTTGGTGAGTAAAACAAGTTTGTTTTTATAACGCCAACAATTTATTTGTTTGTTTGTTTGTTTGTTTTTATATTTCAGTTCTTAACATTCATGTAAATCTTTGTGCTGTTTGCTTCAAACCACAGGGGCACTATCAAAGAGGGGGACCGGGGGGACTATGGGCAATATATT